TTATTTATTTTCTTTTTTTCTGGTAACCGGCCTTAACGATCTAAGATTGTAGTAAGGCCTTGAGTTTGACCTTGATTCTACAATGTTGTGTCAAGGTTCGAATCAGACCTTGTTTGTATATTATTGTGCCAAGGTTCAAATTTGACCTTGTTCATATAATATAATATTGTGACAAGGTTTGAATTTGACCTTGATCGTATAATATTGTGACAAGGTTTGAATTCGACCTTATTCGTATAATATTATGCTATGGTTCGAATTTGAACTTGTTCGTATAATTTAATATTTTGACAAGGTTCAAATTTGACCTTTTGTTATATTTTGGGTGAGGTGTTTTTCTCTTGATAAAAGATAATCATAGAAGGACTAATGTAAAGAGAATGAATTTGAATAATACTCAGATGTGCTTTATTACACCCTTCTCTATTTTTATAAGCTAACTATAATAAAACTTAAGGTGGGTGGCATTCCAAGTCCTTGGGAGAGACTTCCCTCCGAGATCTTCTAGCAGGTATGTGTTGATTTCAAGGCTTTCGGTGACTCGGAATGGTCCTTCCCAATTGGATGCTAGCTTGCCCTTAGAGGAGTCTTTTCTAGTCTCTCCACGTAGGTGCCAAACGAGGTCACCAGCTCGGAAAGTTCACATCTTGACCTTGGTGTTGTATCTCCTACAAGCCCGAAGCTTGTAGGCCTCTTCTCTAATCAAAGCTACTTCTTGGTCTTCTTCAATGGTGTCGAGGTTGAGTGCCATGTGTTAATTATTTTGTTCTTGGTTGAAATTGAGGCACCGGTGTGATGTTTCCCCCACTTCCACAGGGATCATGGTGTCAGATCCATAAGTCAGCCTATAGAGGGTTTCTTGTGTTATCGATTGTGAGGTGCAATGGTATGCCTAAAGGACGCTAGCAAGCTCATCTACCCAAAGCCCTTTAGCTTGTCCAAGTTGCTTATTTGATTCTTGGAGTATCACCTTGTTGGCAGTTTCGGCTTGGCCAATGGTTTGCAGGTGCTCAACCGAGCTGACATGATGAGTAATGCTGAGCACTTAAAGAAAATATTCAAACCTCTTGTTGCTGAATTGTCTTCCATTTTCATTAATTATCAAATGTGGCAAACCATATCTACATATTACATTTTTCATGTAAATTTCTACATGTTCTTGGCAGTGATTTTGGCGAGAGAGCTCACGTCGATCCACTTCGTGAAGTAATCGAAAACTACGAGAAAAAATTTAAGTTGTCTCCTTGTAGGGGGAAAAAGCCCGAGTATGTTTATTCCCCCTTATGTGAAGGGCTATAGTGATTGCATCTAATGTAGGGCTTTAGGGCTCCGTATTGGGTAAGCATCCTTGGGACATGCCTTGTTGAGGTCGGTATATTCGACGCACATCCTCCATTTCCCATTACTTTACTTAACTAATACCACATTGGCTAACCATGTTGTGTACCTGACTTCTTTGATGAACCCTTCAACCAATAGTTTCTAGGTTTCCTTGGTCGCAACATCACATTTCTCATCATCGATCTTTTGCTTCCTCTATGCCATAGGTTTTCTTCTTTATGAATGGCCACCTTGTGATATATGAGGTTTGGATTAATTCCTTACATGTCAGCACTTGACCATGCAAACAGATCCGCATTCTTGACCACCTCAACTATCACCTATTCTTGTAACTTTGGGCTTATATTATGACTTACCTTGGTACATTGGCTAGGGTGCTCACCTATTTGGAATTCCATGAGCTCATCGATGGGGCTTGGTCGATGGTCGATGCAATCTGCCCTTATATCGACATCGAACACACCAAGACTGGCAACGTGGGCCACTATGACCTTGGGTCGTTGTCGGTCGACAAATGAGGTTGATACCTTTAGGCTTTCCACATAGCATTGGCGAACGATTTTTTGGTTTGCTTTTGTAGAGATTATTTGTCCATCATTTTTGGGGAACTTCATGGTCAGGTGTGGGGTGGATGCTACGACACCAAGTTGATTCAAGGTTCACCGGTCAATAATAATGTTGCATGAAGTATGGGCATCGAGGAGTAGGTACCTGACCATCACCCTCTTGGTGGATGGGGGTGTCCCGAATGTGGTCAACAATTCGACATAGCCTTTGGTGTACACCCACTCTCCAGCAAAATTGACAAAGGGTTTGGTGTGGAGTTTGATGAGCGTGTGTGGGACAACTAGTTTAAGGAAGGTCGACCAATAGAGAACATTGGTCAAGCTACCTTGGTCAATTAGTCTTTTATGGACCTTCTAGTTGGCAACTTCAACAACAATGACAATAGGATCGTCTTGGTTGGGGTTGATATAGGTGTAGTCATCATTGGTGAAGGTGATATAGGCAGTGTTTGTTGTTGTTTAGGTGTTGGTCAGGTATGAATGTAGTTGACATTCTATAGATGCCATTTTCAGGTCAAGTTACTTGCCTCGTCGCTTGTGAAATCCCCCGCGATGGTATTGATTACCCCTCGGAGGGGGGCTTGTTCACTATCTTGCTCTGAATCAGGCTTTTCGGTGTTGTTTGTGTTTTGTCGAGGTCCTTTGGTTTGATCACTACGAGGATGAGAGCCCCGACCTCTCCCTCTTCCCCAGCCATGATATCTACCTCTATGGGATTGGGACCTCTACACATATTGTCTGAGATGGCCAGCTTGGATTAGCTCGTCGATTTTATTTCAAGGAGTCCAACATTCTGTAGTCGTGTGGTCGAAGTTTCTGTGATACCGATAGTGCTTGGACTTATCGGCATTGTTGGAGTTATGTTCTGGGGGCAACAACGTGATCAGGTCAATATTGCTAACCTCATCCAACATGTGGACTCGAGGTGTGTTTAATGGTGTGTAGAAGTCGTCTTTTGGGCCCCTTCCTTGTCGAGATTTTTTTAATTAAGGTTCATTAGAGATCTTCAATTTGTCCTTGTGACCTTGATCTTTGCTTATGGATGGCTTTTGGTGCATTTTTTTCTAGGAACTCAAGGTGTTCTTCATTTGTATGTAGCCATCGGCCCAAGCATGGAGTTCTTCCATGTCTACAGGTGGTCTCCTGCAAAGGCTATTAACAAAGGGTCCCGGTTTTAATGCCATAAGCATAGAGTGGAATGCAACCTCAAGATTCAGGTTTGAAATTTTTATGGAGACCCTAGCGAATCACTCCATGAACTTCCTGAGGGACTCGGCATCACCTTACCTGAGGTTGGCCAACGCAGCTGATGTGATGTGATGTTATGAGGTCGGCTGGTTGCATATTGGGTTGCAAATCGCCTAATTAGCTCGTCGAAGCTATCGATCAATCTCAAGGGTAGTTGGGTATACCAACTAAGAGCTGGCCCTTTCAATGAGGTGGGAAAGATGTGGCACATGATAGTGTCATCATCAGTGAAAAGGTTCATTTGCGTGACATATGCGTTGACATGCTCATCAAGATCGGTGGTACCATCGTATCGCTCAATGTTGAGTTGTTTCCATCCGAGTGGTGGGCGCCAAGATGTTCTCACCTGAAGTTGGTCCGATGATAACCTTCTCGGCGAGATTGGTGAGTCCCTTCTGCTTCTACAAGTTAGATACTCCAAGGTAGGGGTGGTACTTGCAAAAGAGACTCCAATGCCTAAGTTAGTTTTTGTAGGTGTGAATGTCACATATTTATAGTGCATGTACCTTGATGGTGATTGGGGTTTTTTCCCATATGTGAATATCTTGTAGGTTAAGATACAATGAGATTGCACATTTATCTTTTAATCTTGTTAGTTGAGGAATGACTTGATCTTTTGGTCGATATGATTAAGCAGTTTAGGGCTAAGGTGAATCCTGACAACCAAGGTCGGTATGATGTCATATGTCTGATGTTACTGACCCATCAGTTCAACATCTGATCAAGACCCAAGTCTCTAACCGGTATAGTTTTTTAGACATATATATATATATATGTGTGTGTGTGTGTGTGTGTGTGTGTGTGTGTTAAATAAAAAATCATGTTTTAAGACAACAGATGATCCCTTAAGTTTTAATGATAACAAATTAGAGATTTTCTTTAAGAAAATTCAACATTCTTCAAAGACAAAGCATAACAGAAGAAAAGTGAAAAATATATACATATCATTTGTAAGATGAAAGAAATAAGACGAAGCATACAACCTATCTGATAACATCAAATGAACACTATTATGTAAGACTAACATTAAATTTCATTTAATGTATTATTCCTCAACAAATTGAACAAAAGGAAGTGATGGAATCACACTAAGGCCAAGAAGACCAAGAGGTGGTATTTTGAAAGAGGCAAGAGGAATGGGTTAGCTTTGAAAACCCTAAGAGGAGTGGGCCTACTTTTGGGCCTTAGCTCCTACGTTTTTATTAGCATAAAAATTTATTCCTATTTTGACCTTATCTTTTGTATTTTCCATTTTACCCTTGTATTGTGGGGTGCTTTAGATCATAGGTTTTTAATTTTGGGCTAAGGTATTTAATTAGGGAGCTAGACGTATTTTTGGTGGTGTTTGCACTTATTTTTGGACTTAGAAAGGCTTAGGCCCAAGTGGAGGGCAAAGGTTGCATGGTCTTATCATGCACCTAGATGTAGCCTAACTAGCTAAACTCAAAGATTCCATCCTTGGCCACCAAGTTGCATCTAGGGTTAATTTGGGTTTCATTTGGTGTGCATTTGGTATTGTAAATTTTGGCCAATGCAATCGTAAATGCAACCCTAGATGTCTCCCACTCCTATAAATACCCTAGGTTATGCATCATGTAAATACTTTAGATATTGAATATAAAGAGAGCCTTTTGATAAATGTTGGTTGATCGTGTATTTCATTATAGTTCTATGATTCAGAGTATCATTTCCTATTTGATACCTTCTGACAATACAGACCACAAACGAAAGCTTCAAGTATCAGATGAAGATGAGTCAAGACAAATCTCAAGATAAGGATTACACGAAGAGTAAATAAAGCTGAATGATAGATGGAATATGAAATGTGCCCCAGACGATGATAAATCAAATATCAGACGAAGGTTGGTCCGACCAGTGGGTGCTTCGGGATGAGTTCGAGCGGTCGACGAAACCTTGCAAATATCCATGTTTGATCAGATCTTCAATCTTATCCTTCAAGGCCGCACATTCTTCTGTTGAATGCCCTCGATTGCGGTGATACCTGCAAGACTTCGTTGTATCGGCCCTAGGAGGGGTCGAAGCTCGTTTCGGGACGGCCAGGACCTCCGAGGTCAACGCTTGCTCTAGCACTGCCGACCGACTGGTATTGAGCGGTGTGTATTGTGAATACCTTGGGCCACGAGGGGGCCTCTCGCGGGATGCTAATTCTTTCGGACGGCTCCAAAAATTGTTTTCAGTCGGCTTTTCCGGCTTAGCGGCTGTCTCCGTTCTGGCTTGATTGCGGAACTCTGCTAATTCTTCCATTTGCATGTATTTATCGGCTCGTCGCCGCAAGTCATCCATATCGGTCGGCGGTTTTTTGCAGATGCTGTTGGCAAAGGGACTCGGTTTTAGAGCGGTTGTGAGATGATGTAGAGCCACAGCAGGGTTTAGGTCTCGGATTTTGAGAGCCGCTTTGTTGAATCGGCTCATGAAAGTCCGAAGAG